ATTTTTTCAACATTCATTTATTTATCTATTTATTTATTTATTTATTTTAGAGAGGTTTTTGCTAAAGAGTGTGTGCACTCGCCAGAAAGACAGAGAAAGACAGAGAGACAGAAAGCGAGAAATCACCCCCAGGGGGATGGCCACACCACAATCCCTTCTCCTCCATTCTCCTCTCGGGATCTTGGGCCCGCACACATGCGCACCCGGCGTGAGTTTAAGCCACTGGGTCCAGGACTCGAACCGCAGTCAACTACATGGAAGTCCAGTGACATAGCCATTATGCCATCTGCTGGTTCCAGCATTTATTTTTTAAAAACTTTTTTGCGTGCACGCACTCCCTGTAGAAAGAGAGTAACAGAGACAGAAAGTGAAAGGGAAGTTGGGTGTGTTTTTCAAGGTGTCAGTACCAGAATTTGAATCACAGTTGACTGTATGGGATCTGGCTCCCTTTAATCAGTAGGCTACGGGGCTGGATCCCAAAAAGCATAGTTTGATTAGCAAGTAATTACAACCTAACTTTAGTAAGTCATAAGTCAATAAATCAAAATTACTCAGCAGGTAACTTTACACTGCCTGTTGATAACCACAAATGCCTAAAAGTTGGCAAATAAAGTTAATGAGACCCATATTTCTATAAGGAAAATCTTAATTTACTAGATAGATGAGTAAAAGATTATTATTTTCTGAAAAACCCTGAGAACAGCCTATTCCCTTACAAGTGGTGGTAGCTGTTGACCAAGTAAACCTTGTTGAACTTTACAAACCCAACACTGCTATTGAAAATCAACCCAAAGACCACCTGGACACAATACCACATTATAATTATTAAATGATTCATATAAAGTGCCCTAGCTTATTTAAAGGTGGAATTTTTTGTTTTTGTTTTTGTTTTCTTTAGTTTCTACTATTTTTTTTCTTTAGTTTCTACTATAGGGTGTACTCACTGGAGGGAAACAGAGAGCGAGAGAGGGAAGAAAGAGAGAAATCACCCCCAGGGAGATGGGCAAGTCACAATCCCTTCTACATTCTCCTCTTGGAATTTTGGGCATACACTCCCAGCATGTTTTTTGAGCCATCGGGTCTAGGATTCAAACCACACAATTGGCCATGTGGGCTCCAGTGGCCTTAACCTCCATGCCACCTGCTGGCCCATTTGAAGGTATTTATTTGTTTATATTAATCTATTTATTTAGAGAGATTTTTTGCTATAGGGCATGTGCGCTCACCAGAGAGACAGAAAGCATGAAATCACCACTGGGGGAGTGCCATTCCTCAATCCTTTCTCCTCCATTCTCCTCAGGATCTTGAGCATGCATGCACATGCACCCAGCGTGAGTTTTAAGCCACCAGGTCAAGGAGCTGAGCTGCAGTCGACTACGTGGGAGTCCAGCAACATAACCATTATGCCATCTGCTGGTCCCTTGAAGGTTTTTATTTCTAAATCATTCTCATGACATAATTTGTGACTCACTAAATCTGGGTCACACAATGAAAAAAACAACTGGACATGGAATCAGAATACTGGGGCTAAACTTATTTACAAGGTTATTATGAAGATTATATGGGGTAATAATTACAATGAAAAATTCCTCTCATCTGTCGGACATACTTTATATTGCCTATGGAGCTAGTTAAGTCAATTTTTAAAAAAGACTATGACATATGGATTATTATGCCCATAATACAACCTCTGAGGAAAGAGGCTCTCAGAGGTTGAGAGGGTGAAAAACTGGCCTAAGATCTTACCAAGCGGCAAAACTAGAATGCATGAAAAGGAGACCTAGCTAGGATATATATAACTGTAACTTGTCATAAAATAGTAAGAGGTATTTTTGTAAAGTGTCCCTGCAAAGACAATTTCTATTAATGCTCTCTATATGTAATCCTTCCTCCTAAGTGTCCACACAGTCCTCTGATCCAGCATAGTGAATCAAAGCAACTCGAAGTCAGATGCCAGAAACTGGTGAGATCTCAGCCATCCAATCGTCATGTGTGCAAGCTTCTCTTTGCTTCCTCATTTCTGTTTTCCCGGTTCCTGTATTAGTAACTGGCGTGTAGCTCGTACTGGCCTACATCTCAGGATGTCACGAGGAGTCACTATTTAGAAAACTTGCAATGAGCACTTTTCAGATCAGCCACAACTTCCAAAGAAATTCATGTGACTTTTGCCCTTCAATAATAGCAGAGTGGAGCATGGCAAGGCTGGGACAAAGGTAGAAAGAGAGCCCAGTCTGCTGCTTCTCCACTTCCAGGTCTGTTGCCAGATAATTATGCCTCCCAGCAGCTTAGTGCCAATACATAAAATTTTTTCCATATGTATAGTTGAAGAATATGAACCTGACCACGTTGCAAAATTAATTGTGCACTTCACTTTTAAACTGCTTAATGATAGACAGATGTGGGACCAGCAGATGGTATAATGGTTATGTCGTTGGACTCCCACATGGCTGACTGCAGTTCGAGTTCCAAACCCAAGGACTTGAAATTCACGGAGTGTGCGTGTGCGTGTGTGCCCAAAATCCCAAGAAGAGAATGGAAGAGAAGGGATTGCAGCAGCACGGTCATTCTCCCGGGGGTGGGAGTGGGGTTATTTCTTGCTTTCTGTCTCTCTGCCCTTTTCTGTCTCTCCAGCAAGGGCATGAGCCCTATAGCAAAATCTCTCTTTACAAAAATACATAAATCCATGTAAGTTAGATACACATTTCAAAATAATCTATTTTTATTTATTGCTTTATTGGTTGTAGAATGTGCTTGGAAATGTCAAAGGGTTTTGGTGTCTTTCACTTACTCAACAAATACTTATTGAAAGTCTACTAAATGCAAGTGTGTGGCTAGCACAGTATAAGACAAACTCCCATCTTTTCTTTTACAGAGATTTTTTTTTTAATTGCCAAAGGGCATGTGTTCCAGCCAGAGAGATAGAAAGAGGAGATAAGACATCCCCCCAGGAGGGCTTGGTCACATCACAATCCCTTTTCCATTTTTCCAAACTGTCAGGATTTGGGGCACATGCGCATGCGTGCGCGTACACACACACACACACACACACACACACACAGCATGAGAGCATGGTTTTTAAGCTGCCAGCACCTGGTTCAAACTAGTGGACCATGTGGGATCTGGCTCCCTATGCCCAGGCCTTACTGCTCACTGCTCTACAGGGCCAGCCCTCCTTTTGCAGTTTTCAATCAAGCAGATGAGGCCATTTGTTATAATGTCCCAATACTAACAAATGTGCCAAGTTCTAGCAAGTTCCAGATGCTGAACATCTCACAGGGGACTTCAGCTGCCTGGGGTTCAGGGAAAGCTTCTTTGAGGAAGCTATATTTCAGCTGAGAGAGGCTGCCATCTGCTTGGGGTTTGTAGCTGTGGTCACATCTCAGTCCTGACACGTGGATGGGTTACCGCGTCAGAGCTTGGTTCCTGGTGTGTAAGACGCAGACACTGTGCACAGGGCAGGGTTGTATGAGATACAGCACCGCAAAGGCACCTCTTTTTGTGTGTATATTTCAGATTTCAATGTCAACGTCAAAAAATACTAGTATAATTTCACACAGGATTTGTGCTACATTAGAACGCTAGAGGCAAACATCACTTGAGGATTGAAAAGGAAAACATGAAATATTAAATAACAGAAATAACTGTGTAAACACGAATCTAACTGGGAGCTTTGCTATTGCAACATGTCCAATGAAGTCGCTTCAACAGAGTGGAAAGGATTGGTGTTCCCGGTCTATTTGGAATACCTGGATCATTTCAGGAACCTTTTCATAAAAAATCGGTCCAGGATAACAAGAGAGGATCCACTCATGATTGTTAATTTGGCTCGCACTGTTCTATGCTTTTTCTTTCGAATTTGGGTACTGAGAAAATAATGTCGATAGTCACTCCAACATCTTGGTGAAAACGGAGGTTTTGCTGGGGATTCAGGTAAGATGTGAGTTCAGAGGCCCCACTCTATCAACCTCCATTTTCTTGCAATAATTACGTATCAACTAAGCATCAGAGGAAAACTGAAAAAAAAAAAAAAAAAAAGTCTGGCCGACAGCTAAAGATAGGTGCAGAGGGGAAATCTGGCAAAAGCTCCAAATTCAAGGGTCAGTCCAGTCCTGCGCACTCGGCAAGGTGGATTCACGTCCTGAGTTTCCGAAGCTGGAGCACCTGGCACTTGAAGGCTCTGCTAAGGACGGTTTTCATGAAAAGTTGGTGAGAGGGAACCAGCAGTTAGCGTAATGGCTATGTCGCTGGACTCCCACGTAGTCGACCGAGGTTCGTGTCCCGGACCCGGTGGCTTAAAACTCACGCCGGGCGCGTGTGTGTGCGTGCCCAAGATCCCAAGAGGAGAATGGAGGAGAAGGGATTGCGGCGTGACCATCCCCCCCTGGGGGGTGATTTCTCGCTTTCTGTCTTTATGTCTCTCTCTGCCTGTCTGGCGAGTGCACGCGCCCTACAGTGAAAATCTCTCCAAAAAAAAAAAAGTTGGTGAGAGAGGCTGGTGGCTCGTCTTTCCAGTGCAGTTTAACCCATGACAAGTCCGATTTTTCAGGCACAAGAAAGGTACCTGAGGAACAGCTCCCTGGCCAAAGGACACCGGGTTAACCGGATTTGGGCAGGCTCCGGTGACGAACGAGCACCTACACGCCAGGTGGGAGGGGAGACAATCGATCACCTGGGGGCGTTAATCGCCCGGCGGGAGGAGCCCAGGATGGGGCCTGAAGTGGGAGAGGCCGAAGTTGCCCGGGTGCGCTCAGGACCCGAGAAAGCCCAGCCTGGGATGCCCAACCTCGGACGCTCCTCCCTGGCCCGGCCTTCTGGGCGCTCGGATTCTGGCCCTCTCCGCACCTTTCTATGGGGTGTGGGTGATTCGTAAGTGGACGTGACAGCCACCGAGGGAAAGTGTGCAAGGAAGTGGGAGTGACCGGGAGGCTGGGCGGGGAGAGTGGGAGCAGTGGGAGGGATGCAGGGCCGGGTGGGAGGGATGGAGGAGGCGGAGAGGGTGGAGGGAAGGAGAACAGGGCGCTGTGGCCGGGCGGGAGGAAGTGAGAGCTCTCGACTCTGACTGTGCTGCGGCTCCGGGTGAGGCCCCAGGTGCGCCCGAGATGCTGCTGCGCCCGAAGCCGGGGCTCCCGCTGCTGTCGCCGCTGCTGCTGCTCCTGGGGCCTCTGGGTCCCCTCTCTCACGGCGCCCTGGCGGAGCCAGCGCCGGCCGAGGACGCGGTGGAGCTAGACTTCGCCACCGAGCGGGCGCTGCACCTGGTGAGCCCCGCTTTCCTGTCCTTCACCATCGACGCCAACCTGGCCACCGACCCGTGGTTCCTCACCTTCCTGGGGTAAGCGCCAGCCTCCGGCTGCTGTCCTCAGACCCCGCCCGCCCCGCGGCCGCTCTCCGGCCGCTCTCTTCCCTCCTGCCCTGAAACTTCAGATCTTGGGAACATCCCCGCTTCTCTCTCCCTCTCCCTGCCTCTCTAGCCCGCGCCGGATGGCTTTTTCTCGGCTCATTCATTCAGAAAGTGTTGGCTGAGCGCCAATTAAGAGTCAGATGGTAAGGGGAGATAAGGAAAAGAAATTGTCCCCTGTCCCAGCACCTGCGCCAGGAGGAGGGAGCCGGACAGGTGTACCTACAAGGCGGTGAGCGGCGGAATCTGCAGCGCAGCTTAGGACAAGCCAGGCTTGGGTTAGGCTTCCGTTTTTACAGCTGTTAGGGAGATTCCAAAAACAAACAAAAAACAGGCGGAGAAGCTCTTAACGCTGAAGAACAAGAGTTACTCTTCTTATAAAACAAAACAAAACCTAAATATTAAATAAACAGGACCTCGGAGACGACTGCGGTAACTTCAGAGCCCTAATAAAAAGATGTCTCCCAAATGAGACTGCCAGAAGTGGTGGTGTTGCTCCATCGCCTACAAGATTTTCTTCATCTGAAGAATGAACATGGTGGAGGTCAAGGCTCTGGCCTCGGGAACATAGGCTGACCCCAAAATGGGGAGCCCTAGGGATAATCTCAGGTCATGCAGGTCACTTATCTAGGCCCTGGTAGCCTCCGAAAATGGCTGGTACCTCAACCAGCCCAGACAGGTGGGAGTCTCGCCATTATCTCGCAGTTGTCCAAGGCCTGTTTCTCTTCTCCTTTTCCTTCTCCTCCTCCTCTTTATTCTTTTAAATTTTGCTACAGGGCACACATACTAGATGGAGAGAAACAGTGAAAAGTGAGAAATCACCCCCACAAGGGGGGGATGGCTGTATGGAAATCCCTTCCCCTCCGTTCTCCTCCTGGAATTTTGGGCATGTATGCACACACCCAGTGTGGTTTTCAAGCTTCTGGGTCCAGAACCATGCAGTCAGCCATGTGGAACCCAGCCACCTTAACCACCACCATGCCACTGACTGGCCCCAGACCTGTCCTTTAGACCACACTGCCAGCTCCATTGCTAATTGCATGGATAGCCTAGTGGTTACGAGATCAGCAGTCTGGCTTGACTGACTCCCGGGTTTGACAAGGCAGGGCGACAGGCTGTGTAGCCCCTCCAAGCCTTGATTTCTTCATCTGTGGAGTGGAATTTCTAAAACTGTTCATAGGATTATTACGAGGATTTGATAAGATGGTGAGTACTCAGCACAATGTCTGACCCAGAGTAAGTGTTTACATTTCTTTATTTTTAAATAATTATTTATTTAATTTTATTTAGCATTATTATTTTTAATTTGACCAAAGAGAGACAGAAAGAAAGAGGGAAAGTGAGGAAGCAAGCCACCATATCTGGGACACACACTGCGGTTGGCCATGTGGGAGTCCACCTCCCTAATCAGCACCACCCTCAAGTGTTTAAATTTCAAGCTCATTGTTTCTTCCCCCAAAATGCAAAGTATTAGGACCAGCAAATGGCATAATGTTTACGTCACTGAACTCCCACATAGTCGACGGTGGCTCAAGTCCCCGATCCAGCGGTTTAAACTCATGCCAGACACATTTGCATGCATGCCCAAAATCCCAAAAGGAGAATGGAGGGGAAGGGATTGTGGCATAGCCATCCCCCCCGAGGGGTGATTTCTCACTTTCTATCTCTCTGTCTCTCCAGTGAGCGCACACACCCTATATCAAAAATCTGTCTCTAACAAAACCCAAAACACACAAAGTGTTTTCTAACCATTCACCAGTTTTCTATGTCCTTCCTTCCTTCTTTTTTTTTTCATTGCCAGAGGATGTGTCCACTTA